TTGCAAGATGCGACTTGGCTCAGCTCCTTGGTCCCTTGCTTAGAGGATGCTGCCTCCTGGTCTTCTCACTTCACTTTGATGTGCAGCCCATCTGCACAGAGAGACAATTCTCTGTTATTTCCATGGCACCTGCAAAAATCACGATGACTCAGAACTGGCTGCCAGAGGCCTTCGGGTACAGCCTGCGTTTAGTTCCCCAAACGTCAGGGAATCCGTGAAGCCTGTCAGTAGATGTTCATACTCCAGGATGTTTATTATTCTTATTCCCAGAAATCCTAGGGGATTGAGATGGGGGACCAGGACGGTCTCCAGACCCTTTGAAGGAAGTCATGCCAGTTAGATGGGGTGAGGGAGGCAGAAGCAGGCAGCTTCTGTCCCCATGTGGGCCATGTTTGAAGTTTACACAGCTGCCCTCCTATGGAGGGGGCTCCATAGGAATTCCACCATCAGTTATTGCCATTTCTCATGTTCTTCTTAACTATTCTGTTTATTTGCATTAATAAATTCACACATAAAAGAAGTCCTGGAACTGGATCTGGCCTTCCCAAGGCTAACTGAAAATCATAAGCAGCACACAGAGACAAACGCTGTCTGGTCTCCCCCAGCCATGCTGACGACATCGTTGTAGATAGCCGGGAAGGTTTCCTGGGGGAATCCCTGGATGGTCCCAGCATGAAAGAGAGTGGCTCCCAAGAGTCTCAGGTGGAAGAAAACAGCCTCCTCTTGAGGATAATGATACTTCCTGGCTGGTTCAGTTCAGAGAAAAACGGGCACCTGAAAGGATGGAGAAGCGCTGCCAATGTTGGACCAAGTGACCCGGCACAGTAGAAGGTGGGATTCGGTGTTTCTGGAGAGTGGAGAAGAGGGAACCCCAGGCTTTGTGGGGACACGGCTCCAGGGGAGGGAAAGGGAAGAGGCCAGGAAGGTCCTCCAGAGCCAGTCAGAACTGAGAAGCCCTGGTTTGGTTTTCGGTGCTAGAAGAGAGGAAAATGAGAAGGTTCCCATGGAGAGGGGGAATTGGCTGCTGGAACTGAGTTTATGGAGCAACTTCTGCTTTTGATTTTTCTTTTTTTAGCTCAGGTTGCCTTGCCCAGGCACATTTCAGCAAAATGTCATCACTTTGTCTCAGGAGTCCCCAACCTGGCCATCAAAATTTCCATCTTGGAGTCAATGGTCAACCTTGTATCTACCATTCCATGTTAGTTTTTATGTTTAATTCGTATCAACCCTGTGTGGCACCTTTGCAAGTATTTGGGGGGAGGGGGGTGCCGTTTGTCCAGCTGCCAAATTAACAAATTCCATATGTCCCACCGTGCTTTATCTGTGTCAAAAATTTAGTATTTTACTAAAATTAAGCTGATATTTAAAATCCAAAAAGTTTGTGTGTAATTTGACTGAAGCTGTAAAATATTTTTGTTTTGGCTAATATTCTTCATAGAATAAGAAATATTTTCTGTTGGAATTTGAAGTTGTCTGTGTTTTTGAGAAAAAGAAAGAAAGAAAAAGGAAAGAAAGAAAGAAAGAAAGAAAGAAAGAAAGAAAGAAAGAAAGAAAGAAAGAAAGAAAGAAAGAAAGAAAGAAAGATCCTTTAAAGTTTGGATTATGCATACCTTTCTCTTTTGTTCTTTCCCACATCATGCTTGTGGGGTGTGCAACTACCAGTTTGATTTTGAGTTGTTTATGTTATGCCAACTTTTTTTTCCAGAAACAGTTATAAAATAAAAAGTAAATCTTATTTTGAGGAAACCTCAATTTATTCTAAAACAGGTCTTCAATGAGAAGGGAATAATTTGAAAGCAAAATCTCTGCTCAGAAGTTCAAATCTGATAGCATTAACAGTTACATTACATTTATTACTTTTTAGAAACCATTAGGGCCCAAACTGTTGAACTTGATATGTGAAAACTTCAAAATGAACTTTCAGCAAGGTTTAGGATCCTTCCTTAGAAATATATGTTAACCTCAATTTTTTAAAAAAGAAAGGAATAAAGCCTTCTGTAAAAATTTGAAATTTCAGGTATGGGTGTTTTTAGTTCCAACTCTACAAAATATTAGGTAATCTGCATCAGAGTGTTAAAAATTCTGAATAGAAAACCCCAGAATTTTTCTATGATTCTTTAGGGTTCTTGCATTGAGCAGGGATTGAACTCTATTCCCAAAATGCTACCCTCTAACTCAAAATTTAAAATCTACCACCATTGAGTTGATGGTTTGGTTTCCTCAAGACCTTCAGGGAGAGCAATACAAGACCCGTGTAGTAGCACTTACCTGGAGAATGTGGGTCTTGGAGATAAGAGCTTAACATTCCAACTCCACAGAAATGGAGCCCTCAATCAACTCAGGACTCGGGAATTTAAGCAATTGAAAATTGCATCATCGGAGTCCGTGACGAGATGTGATGGCTATGTGGGATAGTTGTCCAAGCATCCACCACTGGAGATGGCATGACCTTGACTTCTTCCCAAATATTCCGATGGTGCCTAAGGAAAGCAGGAGGGCTGCTCTTTTCTCAGCCCAAATGATGAAGGTGCCTCCAGTTTTCTCTGATGCTTACAAACAACACAACTTTCCTTTACTGGCTCTTTCAAAGCCCACAGCAATTTTTCTGTGGGAGGCCTTGGCCAAGGTCCCACACCTGCCCGAAAGCTTCTCTGTCACATCAGGCGGCATGTGGTCATCATCCCATGACTCATCATCGGCCCACAGCTTTGCTCGGAGCCAGCTGTCCTTTTGGGCAATTAGAAAGGGTTCCTGGAAGAGAGAAAGCAGGAGAGAGATGGAAATAACAAATTGTGCTTCTCCACACTTCCCATTGAGTGACTGTGAGAAAAAACATGGGGAAGGTTACCCAGGGGAACACACACATTGCTTGTAACCCTTCTAAGGAAACAGATGAAACATAGTTTTCAGTTCATTTTCCTTCCGGCTTCTTCATGTCCACATGATTTCATCAGTAACTGTCTTTACCTTTCAGTAATAACTGACACAACCACCTACAATAACAAGGGGCCCCTGTCCTCTGGTTCTTTGGCCTAGACCAGTGTTTCTCAACCTTGGAAGCTTGAAGATGGGTGGACTTCAACTCCCAGAATCCCCCAGCCAGCAGCTGGCTGGGACATTCTGGGAGTTGAAGTCCACCCATCTTCAAGCTACCAAGGTTGAGAAACACTGGCCTAGAGTAACCTTGCCCAGTCTCGGGCCATGGATTGCAACTCCCCTGGCCCTTTTGTCATGATGAGACTCTGTCCAACACATTTGACTAGCACCAGATTGTGGAGGATTCTCCTAGGTGGAGCAAGGGTGAGGTAGAAAGCTTCAGGACCTCCCATAGTTGAGCTGAAGGGGGATTTTCCCTTTCCTGCAGCTGTATGCTTGTTTCCATACCAATGTTCAAAGCAAAATGGGGGTCTGTGTTGCTCAGCAGGGTCTATGACCGTGATGGCGAACCTATGGCACACGTGCCACAGGTGGCACACGTAGCCATATTGGTGGGCACACGAGCATTGCCCTAGCTCAGCTCCAGCACGCATGTGCATGCTGGCCAGCTGATTTTTGGGCCTTCTGGGCCCAACGGAAGTCAGCAAATGGACCATTTCCAGCCTCCAGAGGGCCTCCGGGGAGGTGGGGAAGGCTGTTTTTGCCCTCCCCAGGCTCCTAGAAAGCCTCTGGAGCCTGGGGATGGCAAAAGACGGGCCTACTGTGCCCACCATGCCATCACATGCCAAAAGCAGGGGGAGCATGGGGGGTCGCGCACATGTGCGTGGGGGGGGCAGGGCGCATAGAATTATGGGCACGCACGCGCGCAACCACCCCACACTCCCCCAGCTTTTGGCACACGATAGCAAAAAGGTTAGCCATCACTGGTCTATGACAATTCGCTTCGGCCAACTCACCACAGCCCACTCACCACAGGTCAACTCGCCACAGGACAAAAATTACATAATGTCGAAGAAATGGTGGAATAGAATCATTGAAGAAAGGATGCAAAAGGAGGGGCAAAATAAAATGTGAATGACAAAAATCCAAATATTTTTTTTATTTATTTTAAATAATTAAATTGAATGATTAAATTGTCCTGCAGTTAATTGGCCATAAAAACCAGTGGAGGCATGAAAGAGGCCACTTTTTGAGGGCTTAATTTCCAGGCTCTTTCATGGAGAGGCTGGAAAGTCAACCTTTCATTGTTGCCCTATGAAAATCAGCCGGTGGAACTCAAGAGCTGCTCTTGGTCTCTGGATGCAACGCTGCGGACGAGGCTAGATAATAAATCAGATTTCATTTTATTGGCCTTTCAGTTTAATTCACATGGAATGTAGCTAGTGTGGCTTCATCTTTTTTTTTCTTCCATTGCATTCAAATCTAACCAACTTTGAGCAATCTCTTGGAGGCACTCTGCGTCCAGAGACGCAGGGCATATGACTTGGCATCATGTAGGCAGGATTTGTATCTTTACCTCCAAAGAATGGGGATTTCGCTAACTGTTACATAAACGGCTATTCTCGGGATGCTCAACTCTCAACTCTGCATTTGGTTCATATCATGTGAGCCCCACAACGTTGTTCTGGCCCTCTGAACTTGAAAGGGGAACAAGCAGTTGTGTCTTCCTCACAGCCCCTGTGGCTCCTCACGCTGCTCCTGAATTCAGGCAGTTCTCAGCTTGGTTGCAGGGGAGTCCACCCGAGGGCCCCACTTGCTGAGGGCATCTGCAGGGTGGAGCCACTCAGCAAATGGAGCCCCTTCCTCCATTCCGTTGCTGCTGCCACCACCGCCGCATCTGTGTTGGGCCCCTGGCTGTTCTGGAAGCCTTGTGGTGGCTTCCTCCTGCACCAGCAGAGTCTCTGTGTAAGTACTGATCTGGAGAGGTGCTCCTAGCCAGGCGACGGCAGTGGGACCCCCTCACCCTTCCCCAGCACTTGGGTGATGTGGCCCCTTTTGCTGGGGGCTCCTCCTTGTGCCTTCCCTCGCACTGCTTTTAATTCTTTTGCTTTTTCATCCAACAGAAAGACAAGCACGACACTTCCAACTTCGATAAGGAGTTCACGAGGCAGCCTGTGGAACTCACGCCCACCGACAAACTCTTCATCATGAATTTGGACCAGAATGAGTTTGCAGGCTTCTCCTACACTAATCCTGAATTTGTCATTCACGTTTAGGCCACCTGGCAAATATTCCTACTGTTGTATTCGTAGGGCTGAACTCCAGGTTGCTGTGTGTGTGTGTGTGTGTGTGTGTGTGTGTGTGTGTGTGTGTGTGTGAATGTATGCCTGAACCCACCCCACGCTCTCATGGTCTTTAGTCTTCCGGGGCTGATGGTGCACACGATCCCAGGTAGGAGCCGAGGTGGCTGATGGTTTTCAGTGTCCTTTCCTCTTTGTATGCCCAAATGGTAGAGACACCCCGATCCACAGAGGGACTCCCACTGGTTCTAGGTAAAGAGCGGCTGGCATTCTCAGAATCTCTAGCCAGTGTATTTCTGTCTGATTTCAAGACTCTGGCCTCAAAGTAAGAGACTTACTTCTGTCTTTGTATTTTGCAATTTTTCTGAACTGAAACCCTGATTCTTTTTGTGTCCTGGAATGCTAAGCATGCTTCATAGCCTCCACATGTATGCTTGCAACTGTGACCCCATATTATTGTTTGGTTGTTGTTCCAAGGTGTCCAAGAATCCAAAAAAACAACATGGTGGCCACAACCATGGGATCAAAGCCCCCCCCTTTACATTATGCACTATATTCACACACACACACACACACACACACACCAGACAACCCTGTTGTTCAGGCCAGAAACAAACCTTCCGTTGGTGTAGAGAACTTTGTGTCCTAAAGTTGTTTCTAAAATGACTGTCTCCCTCTTTAGTGGCTGTGAACACACCTTTAGCACCAAATTTCCTTCCCACCACTAATTAATGCAGTTGATGGGTTTACTTGTTGTGTAGCTTAGGGCTCTGCTGCTTTGGGGGCAGGAGAAAAAAGCCCAAAAGGAAAAATAAATAATAAGAGGGCATTTAAATGTCACTAGGGTAATTTGCAGTCTTTGGTTAAATTTGGCTTTTAAAAACAAGCTTTTGTTTATGTTATTATTTATTTGTTTCAGTTTTGAGGCTGCCCCACTCCACAGTTAGTCTGGGCAGTTTATAATGTAAAAATTAAAACAAACAGATGTATATCAAAGAAAAAAAATGCAGCTGACCAGAAGACACTATCTCAACCCCTAGGGCTCAGCCACCATCCTAGCCCACGAGCTCTTTAACAACTTGCAGCATCCAATTTCAAAGGATGGGAGGGATCCTGATCTCCTGGGGGGGGGGGGAAGATCCTATTCCACAAGGCTGAAATGGTCTTAATCATTCTGAAAGAATTAGCCAAATCCCTCCCACCCACCCACCCCAACTCCTTTGTTGGTGACTTGAGCATATGGTAGAAAGTGTGTTCATTGGAGACGGACAGCACATTTGGGATGATTTTATCTGATATAACCTGAATCTCGGTTCTGACTAATTTCTCCAGGCATCTGAAACTACACAAACTCTTTCCAAGGTCTGCCGTTTTCCACAATTGGTCACCCCAAACCATATGTGTTCTCTCCAAGTGCCGTCTTTAGAATCTTGCCAGTATTTGTATTACTTGGTACCAACATTCTTCACGGCTGAAAAATGCCAATGTGCCCAAAGAGGAAGGCAGGCGTCTCTGAAAAAAAATATATATTTTATTTGTGATGTGTTCAAATGACAAATTGCAGGCTGTTTTTCCTAGAGTGCCTTCTTGTTTTGTTTGTTTGTTTGACTGATGTTGAAGTTCACTTCTGATGCAAAGGCTTAATGTTCTGTGTATGTCAGAAATAGATTTCTTGTAAATATTCTGGGAAGATCGTTCTGCTCTGCCTCCTTCCACTAAAGCTATGGAGAAACAAAGGTTTTTCTTCACCACCTCAGTGAGGGCCAGGGCAAGAGAGAACTTCTGAAGTCGGACAACCTGATCCCAGGGAAGTTAAGGAGGAGGACTTATGGGCCACGAGGATGGCAGGTTGGCCTAGAAGCTGCAGAAAATTGGACTGGGATGGCAGCTTCGGTTTTGGGACTCTCCTTTTGCAACCAGTTGCCCTCAAAGACCACACCATGAGCCCATCTCCCCAGCACCACTACCCTTTGGCAATAATCCATTGAAGAGAGTATGGCATAATTCACTTGAATACCTGTAAGAAGATCTCAGAATTGGGGGGTGCAGGGATGAGTGACAGGTGCAGCCCAAAGGGAGGCAATGCCAGTCCTTGGCAGGCAGAGTCCGCCTTCCTGCTCTTGACAAAAGAGGTGACGGAGCAGCTCCAGCCTCCTGCCTCCACCAGCCCTTCAGAGATGCTCTTGGGAGAGGAAGGAAACCAGCCGCCAAGGGAACCAGGAAACCGGTCGGGGTTGGCCAGGCTCTGCGGCCACTTCAGCACCCGTGTGATTTTTTTTTCACAAGTTTCACATTTTGCCTGAAGCCACCTTGAATTCTTCTATGTAGATATTCTTGATTTGGGGAGCATGTACCATATTTTCAAATATATCACTGTGGAGTTAAACGCTTTGGTGGATGTGGGTGGCTTCTTGTTTCCATTCTTTCTTATGTTAAAATGTCAGCACACTGTATTTTGAAACTCCGGCAAGGCGTTCAAATGTGGATGAGTTTGGCAGCACCTACGAACGGTGGGCTCCTTCCTCAGCTGCTGCCTTCCTTCCTTCCGAGGAGAAAGCTTGGGCCAGAGCCTTGGGGCACAAAGGAACAGACTAAAAGTTTTGGAAGCTAAAAGCCCAGTGACACGCTCTTTCACTCAGATGGATGTTTGCAGAAATGAGACCCACAGATTCCAGGCAGGCCCCTCTTATCAGATCTCGGCTGCCTTTCCAGGGCTCCCCAAATTTCAAGGAGAGGGTTCAGTTTAATCAGGACAAGAACCCTAAACCTGCCAGCCAGGGAATTCTGGGAGCTAAAGTCTGCACATCTTCAAGTTGCCCTGGTTGAGAAACGCCGAGAATTGCAGAAGCTGCCACATCTCAAAGTCAAGGTAGAATAAGCAGGGTGATGCCCCAGAGAAATGCGGTCCAGCCGTTTCTATACATTTGTCATACGCATCCCTCAATGGCTGCAGAGAGGTAATAGTTAGGACAGTGTAAGAAACAGAAGTGCCAAGAAAGGTCCTCTTCTCAGGAGGCCTCTAACATTCACATGCTCTTAACCATGGATTGGCATAACTACTGCAGCCTCGGACCATGTTGGGTCTGTTCAGGGCTTCTTCTAACCCTGCAGGTTTATGGGCTGAATCAGTGATCTTTAATTCATGTTGGTGCACCATGATGTCCTCTTTCCATGCCCCATTGCCACTCAACCATCTCCTCTACTGTGAGACCGGGCCCTTTGGCCCCGAGGACCAGCTCTGGCTGCCGGGAACCACCAGGCAAACTCTCATTTGGGGGACACACTTCCCAAAAACCAGGGGCTCTGTGGCCTCTTTGCATGGACTCCTCAGTGCTAATGTTGTGCTGGACATGCCAGCAGCTGTCTATCTTTACTCCAGAAGACAAGCACCCTTCAGTGGGTACAGTTGTTGAATGGGTAGCAGACTCAGGCAGCTTTCCTGCTCATGAACAACTTTGTAACTACATCTTTATGCTACTTGAACTAATATAGCTGGATCTCTGTGGCTCTTTCCAAAGGCTAGCCTTTGCACCAAGGGAGCTGCCTTGCCAGAGGAGAAGGGGGACCAGAGGTAGGCCAGGAAAGCCTATTCCTTCACCAAAATGTAAATTGAGCTATCTAGAGATGATGGGTAATGAAGAGAGACAAGGCTGAAATAAGAGAGGTGGTTTCATACACATAAGACAGGGGTGTCAAACTCAAGGCCCATGCATAGATCTGGCCCACAGGGCTGCCCTGGAAACAACAAAGGATTGGCTAATGGTGCCTCTGCCAGCAGAAACAAAGACCCCCGTTATTGCTGGCAGAGGGCTGCAGGAAGCCGTTGCAGCCAAAACCAGAGCCTGGGCAGGCTGTGCATGGCTTCCCCAAGCTTTGTTTTCACTGGCAGAGGACTGCAGGAGGCTGTTGTGGCCGAAAACTGAGCCTGGGAAGGCTGCTCGCAGCCTCCCTGAGCTCAGTTTTTGCTGGCAGAGGGCTGCAGGAGCCTCGACAATTGATGTCAATCTGGCCATGTCCATCCCAGCCACGCCCCTGAGGTCAAACAACCCTGATATGGCCCTCAGTTAAATCGAGTTTGACACCCCTGACTTAAGAGGATAAGCAGTGCCAGGCTGGATCGGACCCCTGCCTTTCAACTCCAATGACCTCTTCTCCAGGATTTCAATGTTATTGAGTGATCTCTGGTTGTAGCATTTGGGAAAGGTGACACTTGTCCACTGTATCCACACCAGGCATAATTTTGTATACCGCAATCATTCCTCTCCTAACTTGACCCCCCAAAGCCCCAAGTGATCCTCATAAAGAAGCCGCTGCAGCTCCTTGACCCTCCAACTTGACCTCCTCTGAACCTTCTGCAGCTCCACCATCTCCTTTTGAAGTGTGGGAACCAGCAATGCCCACAATCACCCAGATGCAGTCTCACCAGTGATTCATATAAGGGCATTATGATATGAGCATCTATCTCTGTTTTCCATACTATTTCTTATTATTCTTATCATGCTTTTTTTTTTACGGCAGATGCACACTCTGTCAGCAACTTAATTGAACTGTTTACTGTTAGTCCAAACCTCCTTCTTCACGGTTGCTGTTAGTAACGGTTGCCCCATTATGCATTATTCTCAGCCAGAAAAGGACACAGGAATTTCGGATTCGATGAGGGTGGTGGAATTGATGATCACAGGTGTCCTGGCACACAAGCGTGAGAGAGGCCTGGGGGGTCTTTGATGTGTGGGATGGTACATTACTCCTTGTGAGGCATATTTCAGGGGCCAAAGGCTTCCATTCGATCTCCTCACATCCTCCATGGACTATGAGTACATACAACAACCTGCCTCTTGGAAATCTTGAAAGACTTATGGGCACGACCTGATTGCAATGCGAATGCTCTGACCCATTTGCCAGTTGCCTCTTCCTCCTAGGAAATAAATGGGGCATGAAGCAAATTGAATACTGACCTGTGAGTATGATGGGATGGAGAGTTCCAGAACGGCTTCTTTTCTTCCATCCTTCTCTCCGGACAGCAGCATTTTGGGGAAGGTTAATTGGACTTCCTAGAAGGGGCCCCTACACTAAGCAAGAGTGAGCCCACTTTCTGTCTGCCAATTGGGTTATTAACTGAGCTGACCACCTCCATTTTTATGGCTACCAAACCTTCCAGTAACTCGGATGATATGTGAACCTGTCAATTTTAAAACTCTTTTCTCCTGTTGGGCTAAAAATGTAGGAGATTTAAGGAGGCTGTGATGTAAAAGCAATCATGTAAATGGCTCCAAAGAAGCCGTAAACACCTAATTTAGTGTCAGATTGGAATATAATTCCACAGCATGGGGACCTGTCAAACCTGAATAGAACCCCCCCAAAGCCTAGGACAGTGATGGCTAACCTTTTTGCCATCATGTGCCAAAAGCGGGAGGAGCGTGAGGGGGGTCGCACATGCATGTGCCCATACCCATAATGCAATGCCCCCCATGTGCCCCGCCCCCCCACGCATGCACATGCAACCCCCCCCATGCTCCCACGTCCCCCCTGCATGTGCATGTGACCTAGCAGGCCTCCCTGAAGTCTCCTGGGACCAAAAATGGGCCATGAGGGGGGGCGCCACGGGGGGGTGCACCACTTTCCCCCGTGCTCCCCCTGTCCCACCCATGTGTGACCCCCCCCCACGCATGTATGTGCACCTCCCACATGCACATGCATTTAAATGGACAAATAACTATGAGGAGAATTACTTTGGCATGATATGATGCAATAAGAATCAGAAACATAGAGTCCTAGGGCTAGAAGGGATCTTGGAGGTCTTTGAGTCCCAACCCCTGTCCGAAGCAGGAATCCTTGTACCACCCTGAACAAATGATTGTCCAGTCCAAGAAAAGGAGACACCCAAATGATCTATTGGTCCGTGTCTTCAAGAAGCCCTGAATAGAGAGGCCAAACAGTTGCATTAGGAGATCTGTTGCTGAGGTCTGCTGAACCCTATCTGTGTCCCTCATGCTGAAGGACATTTGGTGGCTGACCAGAGGCAAGGGAAGCTATGTCAAGGGAGGGCTCCATGCCACTACCTCTGAAAACCATTTTCCCAGAGGAATTTGAGGTGCTACCTCTAGAGCAGTGTTTCTCAACCATGGCAACTTGGAAGGTGTTTGAACTTCAACTCCCAAAATTCCCCAGCTTGGCTGGCTAGAGCATTTTTTTTACTGGAATGTTGCAATTATTTTATTTGTCATCTTTATAATTGCTAGCTGCATTTATTGCATTTGTAGAAGAAAACAGGAGAAGTTTCCCCCCCCAAAAAAAGCCATCATAAAGAAATGCAGTGATACACAAGAACTGCATGAAGCATTCAAAGTGAGCCATTTGCCCCTTCTCACAACTTTTTTCTCAACTCTGCCTCGTCTGCACCAAAGGTTTTGCAGTTTAGCTGTGGAGAGGGGGGAGTGGAAGATTGGTGGGGTCAATTGCTAAAGAAGTAGAGCAGGACATGGCAATTCAATTTGTAACATTTCTCTCTGAAAGGGGAAATCCCTTGAAAATGGGGGCAACTTTTCCAATGCTCTGGTACACCACATTTTGTGGAATGGAGTGTAAAAATGGAATAATGAGCCTTCCGTTATCACCTTCATTCAAATGCTCCTGGCATTAACATGCTCCGGAATTGGGCCCTGAAGAGCAATGGGAGAGAGCAGTGGGGTAGACCAGGTCCATCAGTTATTGAAGTATGGATGGCTTACTTCCCAAAAGCCTTAGGTAGGAGAAGGACAGCTGTCGCAATTTTACTCCCAAATGATATACAGTATTTGGCTTTTGTGACACTGTTTAAACATTGCAATTGAAAATATGTGAGTCAGCTTTTTCAAAGGTAACAACTAATGAAGCCTGAAGCTCTTCCCCAGTGACTCCGTCAAAGCGGGAGACATCTGTTTGGGTAGGACCAGGCAGGGAGGGGGAGACTGAGACTAGCATAGGATAGAGCAAGAAGGATCTGCTCGCCTTTCTACCCAACTGGCTGCCATTCCTTCAGCTCATCTATGGGACAACCAGCTTCCTTCAGAGAACATCCACTTGGGGTGATGGAAGGAGCACTCTTAAAACTGAGGTGCTGCTGGCCTGGAGCCAAGACTGGCTTCAAGCCCTACCCAGCCATGAAGCTGAGTGTCTTACTGTGTGAATGTACTGTTTTTCAATCAAAAGTTAGGGATCAATTGAATGGCCAATGGGAGAACCCCAGTGGGAGTTCAGTGATTGAATGAAGCATTATGCTCTGTTGCTCCTACACAGCCCCTCCCATAGCAGGTACCCCAGAAAGTTCATAGAACACCTTTTGCTGGTCTGAGATCCAAAGAAGTAAAAGGTATCCAAAGCAATTTCCTCAGAAAAACAGTTTGAGAAGCA